GACAGTAGAGAGAACTTATTTCTCCTGTATGTAACAAGCTTCTCACAGTTACTAATCAACTCTTTGCACAGTAACTGTGAAAGCAGGCTCAGAAGAACACGTACAGAACACTTCTGGTCATCTGTGGGACAAAGTGGGGAATAACACCAATAGTCACCTATAACTGAAAGAGTGAAAAACCCCATGGCTCCCTCCCATTGTTTTCTGGTAGCATGGAATCACCAAGACCAGCACACACTATGCAGAGATGTGAAAACACAACTATGCAGAGATGTGAAAATCCCTCCATGAGTCACCTCATCTACTGCAAGCGTCTGCTTTGGGCAAACAGAGCAAGGACTGTCCAGACAAGCATCCATACCTAACTGCTGCTGAAAACAGGATGCCTGGCACTAGATTTTGCCTCTATACTCCAGCAGCACAAAGCATCCTTGTACTTCTGTCTGTGGTATTAAGGTGGCTGGTACAGCTGTGACATATTCACTTACCTTGTAGCTTCTATAGTTTCTTCTTAAGTCAGTGGGAGAAAATCCCACTTCCTCATTCTCTCTCATTTTTTGATTGTTTTTTGGTCAACTCATATTTTACAGCTGGTGTTCATGTATGGCATCAACGGCAAGAAGAAAAAAAAGTCATATTATGTTGCCACCACATAATGCTCATAACATAATTTAATGTGATTGCTGACAATCTGTGATTACAAGCCAAATACCCAAGCTGTGAGTTTCTCCACCCCATGTATGCTCTTGCACACACAGTACTGCACATCAAGATTGTGGCTGAAATGTGGCACATGCCTTACGTGTCTTTCCACTGTCATTTCTTAGCTGCTACAGCTGAGTATTTCAACATCAATCAAATCGCAGCCTAAACTAGAAACGCAGGCTACTCTATACTGGAAACAAGGACATGTTTGGGAAAAAATTACCAGGTTTTCCTCTTCAATCTCAGCTAAAGAATACCTGTGGCTTTGGAAACGTAGCAAACCATAATAATAACTGGTGAGAACTACTAGAGCAGGAGAAAATCCAGTGCACTTAGCCAATGTACATCTGCTTTCTCTGAATATAGAGCACTCCCACTGACCTTGGCAGGAATTTAAACAGCATACAAAACTAAGTACAAGAAGTGGAAGAATATCTTAGCTGTGATATGATGCTGTTATTGCAAATGACTGTCTTGAACAGAAGAAAGGATAAGTAAAGCCATTAGAAACAGAGTATGCACTGGTATATGACCTCTTGCATGTACTGTAACAACACACTGGTTTTAAGAATTCATAATTCTTATTCTTCTTATTCCATGAACAAAGCTACAGATACATATTACAATAAATGTTACAATATAAGATATATAAAAGAATATACCTTACTGGTAAACACAGTCAGTACCTCCTGTCCCCTTTCTAACACTTTGTATCTGTATAGAAAAATACTATACAAAACTGCTATAGAAAGATTGCATGAACACTCTGAGTGATGGCAGCCAAAAGATTTTTTTTTTTCTGAATGGCAGACCTGTAATTACTGACTGTAGTATATATATATATATGGCATACAAAAGGTCATCTATGAGATTCCTTGGAGAAAAAAGCTTCAAAGAAACTGTGGTGTAGATCATTCTGAATATGAGCAGTCAAAAGTAGCCATATTCAATGGGCTGACATCACACTTCACTCTGTTCACTGAACTTGCTGTAATTCTAAATTGGGAGAAATAAATTTATTAAAAAAGTATTAAAATGTGTTCCTAGAATATAATATCACATCAGCAGATGAAGCAGGGCTAGCTTGAAAATGTCAACATTATAGGGACTAATACATCAAATAGTTATTTGTGTTGAGGAAGAACTCTGTCAACAGCAGGTGTATTTCTTATCAACTTATCCCAATAAAAATGAGAATTACGGAAACTTTTCCATCAAGATGTAGATAAGAGCACCTTTGGATTTCCAAACAGCAGCAGAGATAAAAAGGAACCAGGAAGCCCTCTTGCCTCTACCTTTCTGCCAATGAAAGACTATTTCGTGTTGTGGGGGAAAAGCTGAAATGTAAATTGGAACCAATCACTTTCTATACATCTCCAAAACCTTCCTCCTACGATACTCTATCCTATCCCACCCCATCCTGCTATTTTTCCTTCAAGTATACACTCAAAATTCCTACTGACCTCAGCATCTTAAAAAAGGCACAGGAAGAGTTCCTAGGCTGTGTTAGTTGTAGAGTGATGTTGCTATTGTGATCACCCTGTATTTTTACTCCTCTTATCTCCATCTTCATTTTATCTTCAGATGTTAAACACAAGGAACACATTAAAAAAAGAGGCAAATTACTTCTTCAGATTATTCAAAGTATGCATCAGCAACATATATACACTGTGAATAATTACATTTAAAATCTGAGGCTGCACACAAGCCCTTCATAGAATCATAGAATCATAGAATCATAGAATCATAGAATCATAGAATCATAGAATCATAGAATCATAGAATCATAGAATCATAGAATCATAGAATCATAGAATCATAGAATCATAGAATCATAGAATCATAGAATCATAGAATCATAGAATCATAGAATCATAGAATCATAGAATCATAGAATCATAGAATCATAGAATCATAGAATCATAGAATCATAGAATCATAGAATCATAGAATCATAGAATCATAGAATCATAGAATCATAGAATCATAGAATCATAGAATCATAGAATCATAGAATCATAGAATCATAGAATCATAGAATCATAGAATCATAGAATCATAGAATCATAGAATCATAGAATCATAGAATCATAGAATCATAGAATCATAGAATCATAGAATCATAGAATCATAGAATCATAGAATCATAGAATCATAGAATCATAGAATCATAGAATCATAGAATCATAGAATCATAGAATCATAGAATCATAGAATCATAGAATCATAGAATCATAGAATCATAGAATCATAGAATCATAGAATCATAGAATCATAGAATCATAGAATCATAGAATCATAGAATCATAGAATCATAACAGTTGGAAAGGGCCTCAAGGATCATCAAGTCCAACCTTCCTCCCAACATTTCCCTAACCACTAGACCATAGCCTCCATTGCCACATCCACTCATTTTTTGAACACCTCCAGGGATGGTGACTCCACCACCAACCTGGGCAGCCCGTTCCAGTGCCTAACCACTCTCTCAGGGAGGAAATTCTTCTTAATATCCCACCAAAACCTTCCCTGGCACAACTTGAGGCCATCTCCTCTCATCTTACCACCAGTAACTTGGGAGAAGCAACCAACACCAGCCTCACCATAACCTCCTTTTAAGTAGCTGTAGAGAGCAATAAGGTCTCCTCTCAGTCTCCTCTTCTCCAGACTAAACAACCCCAGTTCCCTCAGCCACTCCTCACAAGGCATGTTTTCCAGCCCTCTCACCAGCCTCATTGCCCTTCTCTGGCCCCACTCCAGCACCTCCATGTCCTTCTTATCCTGTGGTGCCCAAACTGGACACAGCGCTCAAGGTGCGGTCTCAGCAGTGCCGAGTCCAGGGGCACGATCACCTCCCTGCTCCTGCTGGTCACACCACTTCTGACACAGGCCAGGATGCCATTGGCCTTCTTGGCCACTGGGCACACTGCTGGCTCATTATTTCGAAATAATCCACTAAGCCACTCACTATTCAGAGTTCTGATTTGCCTAGAAGCTCTGATAGAAACATGGGATCAGTTCCTAGAAAAGTGGACTTATGAGCTCTAACTCCCCCTTTTCACTCCAAACATTTGTCCTGGTCTGTCTAAGTCCCATTTCCATAAAATGGGAACGCTAGTTCATAACTATCTTACAAGAATGTTAGGAAGGTAAATTACTGTCTATAAAGAATGTAGACATTTTATAACGAAACAATCATCCTAATTAATCTAATCAAACTCTGACAAAATATACAACAGCCATCCCCACTATTTTTACCCTGCATTTACCATTTCAGTAAATTATTTTTTGCATGGCAACAAAATGGAAAATGATGAAAAGCTCCTAAGAGAGCATGTTTTTCTGGCCAATCCACTAGACCATCTGTGCCAGTTCACCTTATCTGGATAAATCTACGTGATTTTGTCCATAAGCAACTCTAATTTAATTATTAAAATATAAAATGAAGGGGGAGGGGGGGAAACACAACCAAAAACAGAGACCATGATGAGTTTACCATCTCTTGGAGAATGCTCTGAGCCAAGCTCTAGCCATGTTTGGAATCATAAATGAAGCCATGGGAAAGCACACTACTTATAATGCACGCTCAGTTACGCTGGGATTACAATGGAAAAGGCGCCCATGGTTTATGAGGAAAGCCCAGGTTTACAGCCGTTTAATAAGGAATGCAAGAATTATTAAGTAAATACACAATGAAGTAAATGCGTGTTCAAGCCTCAGACCTCAGTTTCTGAGCCAAGCCTTCCTTCTCCCTCTGGCTCTCAATTCCACCTCGTGCAATTCATCCCCCCAACTCCCACCACTGAGCCAAAACAGCACACTAGGGTGCAGAGTAGAGACAAAATCATTAGTTCAAAACACACTTTCTAAAGATCCAGAAACATTTTGCTCAGAGCAATGCAATGCTGTGTGTGAAGCACTGATGTGAAGCAACCCAGGCTGAGGAACAGTGGTGCAGTTTCAGTCATGTAGAACTGTGTGTGAGTTATTTTACCTCACCAAGAACCTATGATAGGTATTTTTATATGTCATTATGCTTTCCAGTGGAGAATGCACCCAGATCAATGCACCACAACACAGCACCTCTGGATCTAGAATGGAGCATGAAGTTACTGTTAAAAGAGAGACAGTGACAAGAAGAGAGTGCTAGCAGGAAAAACTTGGTAACTGCAGTCCAAGGACCAGCTGGAGAGAACAGACAAAGATTTCTACACAAAAGGTTCATTGAGTAAATAAGATTTCCCCAGACGTTAACAAATTGTTGTGAGTATCCAGGAAGCCCTCTAGACTTCACCTACCCCTGCTGTAAGTCTCACTCTGTGAATCTGAACAGCATCAATTGCTGAAGAAATAGATTCAAAGAAGATGGGATTTTCAGATTCAAGATTTCCACCGTACTGCATTGCTTTTATCAAAGAAGCTGCAATAAAAAAACATATGAGCACTCATAAGACAGTGAGGATATATAGTCATGTTAAAAATTTTGCTGCAAGCTCATACTTGCCTTTGCAGTGTGCTAGCAACACATCGATGTGTCTGTTTTTACAGTCCATGTAAATCTATATGTGTTGAAAATATAAAATTAAAAACTGTTTAAAATACTGACAGAGAATAAAATACACAAAAAGAGAATATTCAGAGCAGTCAGATCATGTAGTGCTGCTGCTGAAGCTGTACTGCCAGCGGCCACCAGAGCGAGCCCCTCCATAGTGCAAACACCACAAACCCACACTGATTTCCTTACCTCTCCTCAAAGTACTTTACAGCTCTGCTAAGAATTAAATCCGTAATTGATTAACAATTTTGCAGTTTTTTCCTATATATTTTAGTTTGGGGTTTTGGTTTGGTTTAGGTTTTTTGCAGTTCTTTTTCAGCAAGTTTTCCCGTCTTCTCTCCATATGCTTACCTACCAGTCTGCAAAGACAGGAATCATATCTAGGAAACTTTGAGACTTCAGTAGTCTACCAGAAAATCACCATAACTATCACGCTACATTTTGCAGTAAGTTGTTCTTTATTCTTTCTTAGAAAATATTCAGCTTCCCACAGACTAAGTATTCAATAAGGTAGAAAGTAAAAAAAAATAAATAAAAATAAATAAATAAATAAAATAATAAGGGGGAAAAAAAAAAAAAAAACATGAAAATAACTCTAGAAACAGAGTAGGGCCTTTTTCTGGCAGAAGAGGAACATCCAAAGCAGTTCCTGCTTCAAAAAATTTAAATAATCCGTGTAAAATGGAACAATTCTCAGAGAAGAGATTCTAGGAGAACCACATCAGAAAACCCAATGTTTAAAAATAAAGAAAAAAAAAAAGGAGTTGGTCTAAAAATCCCTCCAGCTCTAGCAGCAGTGTTGATTTTTTTGGAAGAAGTGTAATAATGAGGACACATTGAGTGTTTTCCTCCTCTGAATAACAGTTTTGGACTAACCCTTCACTCAGAGGCTGGACTTCCAACCTGAGTACTTCATAGCACATGGTGGACTTCGCTCTCTCACATTTGTCAAACACTCTTTGAGATAGTTTGTAGTTCTGGGATCTTTCTAAGACCTTTTTGTAAATCAGTTTCACCATCTTTTTTTTTTTTAATTAATGTTTTATTCAATGCTCTATATTTTGTTGGGAGATGTAATAAACAGTAAATCCCATTAGCCTAATTTTTCTGTTTGTTTTTTTTTTTACTGCAGTATCACCTATATATATATATACTTTTAATTTAACACTTCTAAGGCAGCACATACTGCACTGCTTAATCACTGCAGTAAACTGAGAAAATAGTTAGGATGAAAAAATGCTCGGGCTCAGACCCACCGTCGAATCTAGCCTTCTATCTTTGAAAATTTATATCAACCAAACCTTGCATATCCACCTAAATCTGTACCCACTACACAACTATCAAATGCCAGACCCAATGGAAACATAAGAAATAACTTTTGAAGATATTTTTTAATCCACTATTCAGAAATCATTATGCAGAGTCACAGAATCATTTTTGTTGGAAGAGACTGTTAAGCTCATCAAGTCCAACCATTAACCAAGCATGCCAAACTGTGTCGCTAAGCGCCACAGCTACACCCCTGCTAAACACCTCCAGGCTCCACCACTTCCTTGGGCAGCCTGTTCCAGTGCTCGACAATCCTTTCCAAGAAGAAATTTTTCCTAATATCCAACATAATCTTCCCCTTGGCAGAACCAACCCTCACTTTGCTCCAGCCTCCTTTCACGTAGTTGCAGAGAGCAACAAGGTCAGCCTCCCTTTCTCCAGGCTAAACAACTAAACAATGTGTCAGAAGACATGTGCTCTGGGGCCTTCAACAGCTTTGTTGCCCTTCTTTGAACAAATTCCGGCACCTCAGTGTCGTTCTTGTAGTGAGTGATTCAAACCTGAACACAGTACTCTTAAGTGTGGCCTCACCAGTGCCGATCACTAGTCCTCCTGGCCACACTATTTCTGATACAAGCCAGGATGCTGTTGGCCTTCTTGGCCACTTGGGCACACTCCTGGCTCATATCCAGCCAGCTGTCAGCCAGCACCCCCTGGTCCCTTTCTGACAGGCAGCCTTTTAGCCACTCTTCCCCAAGCCTGTAGTGTTGCATGGGGCCAGTAAGACCCAACACTTGACCTTGTTGAACCTCAAAAATTTGCCTTGGCCCATCAATCCAATGTGTCCAGGTCCCTCTGCAGAGCCTCCCTACCCTCAAGAAGATCAACACACTCAGACAGCTTGGTCTTACTGAGAGTGCCCTTGGTCCTCTTGTTCAGAACATTGATAAAGATATTAAACAGAAGCGGCCCAAATACTGTGCCCCAAGGAACACTACTTGTGACTGGTCACCAACTGGTGTTAACTCCATTCACCACAGTAACCAGCAGTTACTGGTTTTAGTCTTCTGGAAGTTTCTTGGAGCTCTTGCAATCCCTAAGGAACCCAGCCTTATACAAGGAGTAATTATATAAAGGAGTAATTCTACACATGGTTCCATGCAAATGACATCACAAGTTCAAATATGACCTAAATGAGCTTTAAAATTCTAAAGAAAAGTTCAGAAACTCATCTCGATTACATACACTTACATTAGCACTGAATGTCACTGAAGTTTTCTAGAAATATTTTTTATATAATTTTAAAAGTAAAGACAGTGCAGTTTAATACCAAATCTGTGTTTATCTTTTCCATGAGTGTTTATCCATTGATACAGGCAAGGTGGCTAGTAGCTGGCCCAAATAACTCATATATGTCATTATATTTCTATGTACAGAATTTGTTTGTGATGAATACCTGAAGCAGCATTGAGACTCCAGTGTAGTCAAAGAAATTCAGTCCACTGCAGTCTAATATCAAAACACATCGCTCACTGTGACATGACTGCAACAACTCGCCTACACATTTGATAAAAGAAAAACTTTAATTAAAAGGGGGAATAGTCAAGAAATGCATGTGAGAAGAATGATAGGTCAACAAAGTAAGCAAAAACTATCAAAATAAAAATTTTACTATTATGTACTGAGGCAACAGGCAAGCAAATGGCACAAATGAAAGACCTTCAGAACAATCAGATAAAGTGATAATGGGAGAGAACATATTATTAGTGAGATGTTTTAGACAGGAATAGTTTCTCAAAATTTAAAGAATTGCTTCTTCAGATTAGAATTTCTAAATGGGTCAGGATATCTTGGACTGGAAGAGTTTGTTTACATGGGATACACAGATAATATATCTCTCTTAAGTTCTGATATGGCATTCATTTCTGTAGCACCTAAATACCTTCCTATGTCTTAATTAATATGCCCTTACATGGAAGAAAAATATGTAAAGTGGAGTGTTTAATTTTCTTAAGGTTTTACTGTGCTGTTTTTTGAGTGTTTTTTTTTTTTTAAATTTGTTTTATATACTATCATGTATTGATGCTGGAGGAAAAAAAAAAAGGAACCTGGCTAAATTTGCAAAGGTCTTATTCTTCAATTTCAGGCCATCTTGTGCTTAAAATAAGAACACACTGTACTAAATGCATCCGAACTAGCACATAGATAAATGATTCCTGGCTTTCATAAAGGGAAACTAGGAAATAATGCATATCTTATTTACATTGCTCTGTTAACAAATTGTAGCTATCATAATGCACAAAACTAAAAAAAAAAAAAAAGAGATTAAGGAAATGCATTCTGAAGGTAAAGATGGGTTAAGCTAAATGGTTTTGACAGACCAAAGATAAAGATTTTAAACTGTTAAGGAGACCCAGAATTTCCCCATGGAGTAGACTTATAAAGATGCGAATTCCTTTCTGACAGTAGCCTGAGAGCCAGAGCCTTTTGGACTTGCAGCTCCAGAGATTTGTCTTTGTACTGTCCAATGTACACTAATAGATATATACCAAACAAAAATACAGAATTATAAAGGAAACTTCCTGCATGACATTACTGTGATGGAAACCCAGAAAGGATTTATGAGATCTGCCAGGCTGCTCACTGTAATCGTTTCTATGCACCTCCTCTGCCTCCAAAACAGCAGAACTTATTCTTTCTTCCTGTTACTTACTCCTGCTGCCTTCCCACCCAGCTGGCATCCTGCATTGCAGTGAAGGCTGCCTGGCTTCTAAATGAGTCTCATTAATAAATGTAAACATTCAGACAACAGCCTCTAAATGCAATTGTCTACTGTGGCCTTAATGCTTATGTGTTTTGAATAAACATAATGTTTTATTCTATCCACAGTTAAGTCATATGTATAAATGATCTTCTGCAAAAGGTTGCTGCAGCTGTCCCATAGGAATGTATGTGCTCTGGGTTGATTTAAGGGTTACAAAATGTGGGAAGAGTGGAATTACCCAACTTGATCCCTAACTGAAAGCAAACCTTTATGTTTGGTTTTGGTTTTGGTTTTTTTCCCTTTTTTTTATTCAATACTTTACTGATATACTGTAAAATATCGGTGGCCATCATGTCACTGATACAATTTCTGAGATTTTCTCTTAAGGGGCTCTAAAGATCACAAAGATTTAACATGGCTTTAATCTTATCCTATTTTTACTTCTGTATACTAATATTCAAGTCCCACTGTGAATGCAAAAAAACCCAAAGACGAGAGCTTAGCAAAACAGCTTCTTAGGCCTTTGTCTGAAGATCAATCCAGGCAGTAACATGGGAAGTGGTTCTCCTCAATGCAGACCTGTTTCAGTATGCACACAGTGGTTCCTGTGAAATAAGCAGGAATTCCTGCAGAAAAGGTATTTTCATGAGTTCCTCACTTTTGAAATCTTCAAAAAGTCAGTGAAGAACAAAACAAAAATAGGAAACATTAGGCCAAGGTTAACAGAGTTTAACACTGTTTAATGCTCATGCTTCACTTTATGTTTGGTCTAACTGAAAATATTAGTTTCCAGACAACTTGAGTACACCTAGAAATAAACAGAAAGGAGTGGAGCCATTTTGCACACTTACACCCATCTTGGTTTTAGTATCATTTACAGATAATAAACTCACCATGACAGCTTCCACTGGAAAATGAACTGAGCAGTGTGTTCTGCTCACACTGAAATAAAAGCAACAAACTGTTAAAATACAAAGGAAACCATGTCCAATGCATAGTAACCAGAGAAAACCAATGCAATACGTAAGAATTCTGCCCCTGTATCAAAGTTATCCTCTCCAAAATCATGCAAAAGCCTATTAGATATATAATATTTGTTGAGTATGCCTCTCAGTATTCTTTTAAAGCTATACCAAACTGATATTTCTGCTTCCCTATCTAGATGACTCAATCTCTGAGACTTTTGGATCCCCTAATAATGCTTTTGGAGAAGCAGAATTTGTTTAAGAAGTGGTCAAGAACACTTTCTACATGTAAATTTATTAAAGAACTACCTTTACCTGCAGATTTTTTTTAAAATAATGAGTTCAATATAAGTGTTAAGTCCTCAATAGAAATGAGTTAAAATCAGAAATAGAAACAGCATGGAAGCAAAATAAAAAATGCTATTTTTTTTCACTCTCATTAGGTGATACAGAAAAACCTTTATTCCACAAAAAAAAAAGGAAAATATGCACAGTATTTCAAGTAGCTGTACTGCCAAACACCTTACAGAAGATACAAAGGATAAAATCTCCCTCCAAAGTAACTTATAAATTAACTTATTAAATTAACTTATTAACTTATTACACATATTAAATTAGCTCATAAATTAATTCCATGTAAATGCTAAGGAATTTCTTTCTGTTTAGAGGTTTGTTACCATACTAATCCAAATCAGTTAGCCTAGCTGAATCAAGGCAAAAAAGAAGCACAATTTCTGAGCTGAATTTCTGAACAACGAGAAGTCACCCATCAAAGTAGGCATGGGTAGCACAGCTCTTTGGCATGAGACAGCAGAGGCAGCAGACACACATTGTTGAACACTGTCTTAAGAACCCATCTAAGAAATAGCTGTGATTTTCTCAGCCCAGTTTGCCAAACTGTATGAAATTGCCTACAATATGCATTATATGGTATTGGAGTGTCTTCATTGTTATGACAGAAAAATAACAAGATTTTTTTTTTTTTTCCCCTCTTTTAGGGAGTGTTGTAGGAAGCTGCAGTAGTTATGTGCAGGTAAACTCAAAAGATACTGTACTTATGGAGATTTTCTCCAAAACCAAGTTATACATAATTTGTATACTGTTTACTTTTCTAATACAATCAGTGCAGAAAATGAAAAAGAAACTCTACCTCTGAGGAAAAACTTTAGCCAGTTTGTACTTCCTTCCTAATTCTTCTGGAGTTGTTTGTAGTTAGAAATGAAGTGTTTCCCTCTCATGGACCCATGTTCAGCAGAAAAAAAATTCATATTTTTTTTTCAAGTAGATTTATAGCTACTCATTGCCTTTTTAAAACCATAACCTTGTATTAGCTCAGGTTCTGTAAGTTCTTCCAGAAATTTTGAAGAGTTTGAGATTAGTGCTTTAATGTCTTTTACAGGATCTCATGCAGAAATAGTAGAGATACCCTTTTCAAGTAATAAAATACTCCATATTGAATCTGATTAAGATAAGGATTAACATTATTCTATTCTATATTAATCATTTGTAATATTGCCTTTTTATAACTGTCTCAGTATCTGACTGTATTCACTAAGAAACACAAGGAAAGCAATCATGATCTTCAACACTGTCACCATTACTGAAGCATAAAGCACATCCTACCTTGTTTTCATCTTCACATGGCTGGCTGCTCGTGCTATCCTTTTGAATTATCTTTATCAAGTCAGCATGAAATTTCCTGGCATTCAGAAAGACTAAAGGATTGTTGACTGAAACTATCTTTACCTGTTTCAGTGATTCCTGTGGAAAGAAATAAACATAATGCTGAAAAAATTGTCTTGGGTTTGGAGACTAACAGCCAAACTAGTTCCTTCAAAAATCCTGAAAAATCCTGTAAATCAACTGAGAAGGTGAGAATTGGATTGTGAGCATGATTTAACAGATAACTGTCTTGATCAGTCTTCACACACAAGCGAAGTAAAAAATTAAATCTAAGTAACATATAAGGAATATTATCCTTAATTCAAGTTAGTAGGAAAGAAAAAAATCATATTCATTATTATACCTAATACTAAGAACTATTATCTGGCAAATAATAGCACTACTTCAGTTGGTATGACCCCCAAACTTAGACAAGATAAGGTTTGCAGACAGGGAGTAACTTTTATTAGACAAACTCATGTATTGGAAAAAGTGCAAAGAGTTTTGGGGCAAACACTGCAGGTGGTTTGGGGAATGCTGAAAATGTTCATCTTGGTCATCGGAAGATGACTTTAGTACAATAAGGATATTTCTCCATGGAAATATTTAGTGGATCCAGAGCAAGCTTGCATGACATATTTAAAACTTCATCAGCACAACCACCACTACAAATAATCCACACAAGAACCATCAGCCACTCATGATCCTGTCTCTGCACTAGAGTAAGTTTCAACCAGTTCACCAAGTACATTCAGTGAAACTGCATAGCTCAAAGCGTAGACTTTACACAGATAAATCAGGACATCAGATAAAGGTCAGAAACCATCCGGTACTAGTCGGGAATGTTCCCCACAAAGCAAGCTCTATTTCTTTCATTTTCAAGGTGGACTTACAAAACACTTGCAAAAGTCAGTAAAAAAATTAATATTTATATAAAAATATATTGGATATCAGTAATCACTAGTTCAGATGAAATACAGGTTTTGTGGGGAGATAGAATTAAGCAATACTACAGACGTCTCAATTTTCCACAGGTTATGAACTAGGTTTCTGTTTTCCTTTGGAAAATTAGAACTGAGACAGCCCAAATTCAATATGGAGCACAGCTGCTTTTATTTCTGCTGCTTCTATTCCAGACTTGAGGAAAAGTCTGTCAATAGTTAGGGTCTTCTACTTTTTCCAGTTGTTGTATTTGATCTAGTAAAAGATGTTACACCTATTTAAACAGTTCTTTACATATATATGCCAATAAATAACTCTATGAAGCTTTTACACACCTAGTGCTGTAAACAGGGATAAGCATGATCATGTGTGGCCTGTAAAAGTCACCAATATTCTCAGTAGCACTTTCTACATTTTCTACCTGACAAGCATGCGTGCAACTAGAGAATCTCATATAGCAACAATATCACTGCTCATTAGTGTCAGTTGCCAAAAAATAATGTTTTATTTGCCTTTCAGGAATGTCTTTTATGGAAGCTGTCAACCTCTTGGGTTACATGTGGAAGTTCAGGGTGTTCTCCTTGCAAGTTACAGGGAAATGAATGCCCTACTTGAACACTGCACAGCATCAGGCATTCTCACATGCACAACATGGAAAAAGAGAAGCAAAGAAGCTTCTCTTCTTCCTAACAGAAGTCAGAGACTTGTAACAAGGTGTAAAGAGAATGCAGTTAATGACAAAGTCTGAGTCACCAAGTACACCCTGCAGCTGTATGCCTGGAAGCCCTAGACCCAGCACTGGTGAGGTGCTAAGCACTGGATGAGGTGCCAGCACCAGTGAGGTGCTAAGCAGTGGGTGAGTGTGACGACCATCACCAGATCAATATCTGGTG